TGATGCAATAATAAGGTGATGTATCAAAACAAAAACATTTTTTTGTCTCGATTATCTGTCAAATTTTTCCCTATAATAATTAAAAAATTTGGCAGCATTGCACATCGAATTCAAGTAAAATTTACCACTTTGACAGTTAATCTAGACATCAGCTGCTCTAAATGGACTACCTATTTATTGTGCCATGATTGAGTGTTTACATTTTCAGTGTTTAGACAGGGTTCTGATCATGGCGCAATAAATAGGTTCTCAATTTAGCGAAGCTGACGATTCGATTATCTATCACAGCGCATAGTTCCTATATGAATTCGACGTGCAATGTTCCCAAGTCGAATTAAAAACACATATTATATCATGATGTTCATGTTCCGTAGAGTGTCTAAAATGGCATTTATAATACGTTTACGTTGAATAGGATTTCGTTAACGCAGTGGGTTTAAAATGTCAATTCCATTGAAAATATGTCAAATAAGTCCTCATAAAGTCGGTTAACCTGGAATAAAGTTTTAATATAAACGCACTATTACTATGGGAAGCATAGTTGAACGCGTCCACAGGTTGCCGATACTGGGACGATCAGTAAATATATAACTAAGTAGTAGAGGACAGTCAATGGCGAGAGTCTCGGAGGAACTGACCGAGTGCAAATGATCATTGGGCTAGGTTTGGGATGTACGGCTGTTGTAACAACCGTCCACTCGGAGACTATGTCCATTGTGATCATCCATTATGTATAGGTGTACCTATAAAGAGCGAGAAGAAAAGATAGTGGAAGAGTAGAGAGAGAGGTAGTCAGAATAGGAGGGAGCGGAAGCGGAAGAGACATTATTTTAGCCAAGTCAATTTTTTGACAAAGCCTAGAATTAGGTTAGGGTCTATTTTGGAGAAGAAGACTAGATTATCAATTTCATAACATTCAAACTGTTTATGTCTTCTGCTGATCAGCGATGGACATTTGCAAAGGATGTGCTCAATTGTTTCCACTTCTTCTTCATCCTCACATAGACGACAGTAATCCTCTCCACTGGAGTCCCACTTAGAAGTGAGAGATCTAACTTTGCAGTGACCAGTAATGATCCCCACAACGATCTTAATCTCCCTCTTGTTGTGATCCAGCAGCGAAGACGTTCTTTTATGAGAGAATTCTGGCCAGATAGATTTAGAGATTCTGCATGCAGGTTCCCTTAGCCATCTGTTGCCGACTACCTCGCAATAGAACGCACGGATTCTGCCAATGAAATAGCTAATAGGGGGTTTCACAGATCTCTCAATCAGAAGACTGGACGACTGTGACCCCCCTCGAGCAAGCTCGTCGGCTATCTCATTCCCTTCAATATCGTTATGTCCTGGAACCCAGCATAACCCAACTATTTGACGTATATCATTCAGAGCGGTCTTACAATCATGAACTGCTTTCGAGTTTATAGTATGCGACTTCACCGCTTTCAGGGCCGCCTGACTATCTACGTAAATAGTCACCGGTCCTGTAAAGTCTGTATTAAGTGCTTTTACTATCTCGGCCGCTTTCGTGATTGCAAGAATCTCTGCTTGAAAAACGCTACAATCATTGTTGAGTTTATATGAGTTTCGTATACCTAATTCCCTGCAGTAGACGCCTGCGCCAGTGCCTTCTTCCATCTTGGACCCGTCTGTGAAGATTGACAGACCTGGCAGAGGTAGGGAGCCACTAGTCCAGGATTCCCTGTTAGGAAATTCGACTTTAATGTCATTAAAATCCCTGTGGGGGGGAATATAATCACTGATATGACTATCCCCCCTAAAAAGGTCATAACTTGGCGTTATGTTTAGAATGCTGGCATGACCATAGTTCCGCGATTTCAAGGCATCTGTTTCCCGGAGTCTCAGGGCACACCTAGCAGCCTGGAATTTGATCAGAATGTCCAATGGTTGGAGATTCAAGATTGCGTTCAAGGCTGCTTGTGGTGTGCTTCTTAATGCTCCAGTGATCAGAATTGAAGCCGATCGCTGTACTAAGCTCAGTCTTGTCAGCAGCTTCTTTTTATTCACCCCCTGCCACCAGACAAGACATCCATAGGTAAGTATGGGTAAGACAATCGTCGTATACAGCCAGTGTATAATTCCGGGTCTCAATCCCCAACTCTTGCCTATGGAGTTCTTGCATGAATAGAGTGCCATCAATCCCTTCTTAGAGCGTTCCTCGACATTCCTATTCCACAGTAACTTGCGGTCTAGGACAGTGCCAAGATATTTAGCTTCATCAGAGAGAGTTAATGTCACTCCACCAAGTGATGGCAGACGGAAACTAAGAACTTTGTATTTCCTAGTGAAGAGTACCAGTTCGGTTTTTGTGGGGTTTACACCAAGACCTTTGGTGCAAGCCCAATTTGACAGGGTTGAAAGAGCACCCTCCAGGATGTCTGATATTGTCGTAATAAACTTACCCCCAACCAACAAGACTACATCATCGGCATAGGCTACAACCTTTATCCTGAGATGATTGAATTTCATAAGTATCTCATTTATCACCAGAAGCCACAAAAGGGGGGAAAGAACTCCACCCTGAGGTGTGCCTCTGTTGACAGATTTCCTCACGGAACTCTCTCCTAGGGATGAGTTGATAATTCTGCTTTCCAGCATTCTATCAATCCATTCCGTAAGGAGTGAGGGGATACCTATGTCTACGAGAGCAGAATGGATTGCCTCTAGCTTCACATTGTTGAAAGCTCCTTCGATGTCGAGGAATGCTGCCAACGTGTAGCCAGAGGACTCCATATTCTTCTCGATGTATCCAACCACCTCATGCAGAGCTGTATCCACTGATCTGCCCTTGATATAGGCATGTTGGGATTTACTAAGTTTATTACGGTCAATGGTATCTCTAATTTCTGAGTCTAGTAACCTTTCTAAAGTTTTTAGTAGAAAGGAAGAAAGATCATTGGGCTAAGGAGACGAATATTGGCGCCCCTAATTTAACCATAAAATGGGTTTCTGGTATCCTCCATTGAAGGTATGGGGTGGTATGTGACCTCGTGCCCATCGATGGTTTGCAGTCAGCATATTGACTGTAGCCTGAGCCTGATTAATAAGTGGGTGACTCAACCAGTATTAAGTTTATTTACCAAATCCTAACCACGGTAAGGAGGCTATGCCACCATCCTCCAAAAAAATTAATCTGAAATAAAAAACTCCCTATAAAAACAAAGATCTTCGACTGAAACAGTTGTGGTTGCTTTGGCGCCACAGTCAGTCTCACATATTACAAAAGCAGGCTCTTCATCTGGTGTACGAAGTACATCCCCACGCTCAACGCAGCGGACCTCAAACATGGGCGGGGACAACTTCAGTACTGTTCTTAACAACATAAACAGTGTGAAGCAACCCTCAACCTGATTGAAGAAAATGGAAGTTTCCGCCTGAGTCAGGAAATCATTCTGGGGGAATATGGGACGATGCTGACACTACAGTCATTAGAGTTTTACATCCAAGTCAAAAGGTGTCGTCGGAAAGTTTCGGACCCAAGTGCGGAAGCTCCCGTCTCTGCATCGACAATGGTTGATGAGTCAGGACTTCCGAGGCAATTAATCATCGAAGACAAAGCAGTCAAGAGTGGAGATTCTAAATTTACTTTAAATTTAATTTAAATTCCGCTGTCGAATGCGATGTGAAATACCTCGGAAACTTCAGCGGAACCTGTTCCGACAGAAGCCAAAACCCCCTGCAACAAAGATAACGGAGACGGATAACGGTGACGGAGGTAGTAGATCAAGCAGCAGCAAAGAACCCGTCGTTGCTGAAGACAATCCAACCGTCTGCCTGATTTGCCTCAAAGCCGCTAAGAAGTAGATAGGCCAAACCAAATGGCAGGTCTTCGCAGGAAGCTTCGAAGCAAACTGCAAAACTTAAAAAGACGGCAAATGGTCCCAGATAGCCAAAGAGTTGCTATCATGGACAAGACTGTTTCCGATGAACTCTGGAAATAAGGAGTCTGCTGACTACCTTAACAAGGCAGTGAACGATCTGGAATACCTTTGAAAAGGACGCAATCTTGCGGCTTGGTAACCTCTGTTTGGAAAAATCAGATGAGGAATTTCTGAAAAGGAGTAGAGGCACACTATATCTGCACGAAGGTATTACTATATCTGCACGAAGGTACAAGGTACGACGGGGCTCAAGAACAACCACTACACTGGTTTTTAATCCTGAAGGGAGAAACGCATAAGAGGACTTCAGGGATGGACTTTTAAGTTTGTTTTTTAATGAAGTTTGAATCTGATATTTGTTTATAAATTGACATTTCATACATACTGAAAAATTTTCCTTCTCGGATCATAATAATTTTTACTTCTAAATATCCAACGCCGGAGTAAAACAGAAGCGCTACCGATAAGTGATATCACTTATGTGCGCTGCTGGGGAGCATTAGTAATAAACGCAGTGTCCAAGTGATAATGCACTCAGAGAGATTCTTCTTCTGGTAATAAGTTCATAAAATATGATAATGATTTCTATGGAAGTCCTCCACTTATGTGCATTAAAATTGTCATTAAAATCAGATGCGATTAAACATCTAATTAACACATACCGAAACTGTAGACTTCTCCTAACATAACCTATCATTCATTTTCGCCTTTTTAGTTACATGCTGAAAAATGTAGAATTAACACAAAAACTTGTTGTTTTTATACTATGTTGTAAGCTAATTTGAGGCACAATAGTTATCCTGTTGTACCTTGACATAACAACCCATTTTACACGTCATTTGATATTACAATTCCCAATGAAGTTAACCGCTAGCCGTTTTCAATGTGTTTATTGCCTATCGGCTGTTTAACTCCACGCTTTCTTTGTGCACCCTACACAAAAAGTCTCCACACAATCAAATGTTTGCATCAACCTTGGCAACCCTAACTGTGAATAACAAAAACAGCTGTTCTGGAAAAAAACCTACAAAATTAGCTTGTTCCAGAGGGACGGACAGCATTTTTTCGCACATCCCAGTGTTTAAGCTCGATAGTCACATTTATATAAATCCACAATGGTTATTGGTGCCTTCCCAGCGGCCAAATTGGGTGTATTGGCCATCAAACAAGTCAGTAAACCCATAGCGAATATAATTAAATCGAAAGCCAAAGAGCATCCATTATTTCGTAACTATATTTGTATGCCACCGGCTCAATGTAAGTAGTGTATTCCTGAATATTTATTAATGGATTAGGTGTGGAATGTATGAATGACGATTTTCTCTTTCCGTTTAGTGTATAATTGGGTAGAAGTCAAGACGAAAATGTGGGCCCTTAATCTGGGCAAGCCTGTCAATGTGCCACCCCTAACAGAAGCCATGGCTGTGGAACTGGGTGCAAATCTCTTGGGTGAATTTATTATATTTGCAATCGGTGCGGGGCTGCTGATATTTGAATACGCTAGGTATGTAGAAAAAGGGCACTATGATGTCATTCAAAGGAAAGGAAACTAGGAAAACAAATACATTGTGAAAATTTACATTTGCATGAAACAAGTGTTCCAAATCCATAGGAGCTCATTTCAATTTTTTCTGTAGGTGAAGTCGAAATCCATATTCGTGAACTTCGTTATTTTTGTTAGTCTGGAATCTTCGTGACCAGAAAGATAAGGTCAAACTGTCGTTAAATTTTTTGAAAATTCAGAGATGAGCCCTTATATTCAAGATATCACATCTTTTGAAACATTATAGTCAACGAATCAGATTGAGCTAAAGTCCTAAATTGAGTACCTATATGAACTCGGATCGAACATAATTTTATAACACCACCGAAGCTAAGCTGCGGTCTTAAAAACAATCGGAACGCAATGATTTTTAAACAATAAATAAAAACTTTTTCTGATTTTCCGGAATATTTCATATCCATATTTCGGCAACTTAGAGCCCCCTCCCATAATAGTAATCTAAACATACTTGTGTTAAAATCTATTCGAATACAGGTATCATCTTGCTCCCTATTTTTCTCTCCCAAATCCTATATCAAATTCTATTTACTTTATATTTTTTTCTTTGCATTTACAGACAAACCAGCAATGAGGCCAAAAAGCAAGAAAAAATGGTCCTAGAAAAAGCGGAACTTACAAACAATTTAGCTGAACTGACATTCCGTTTGGAACGCCAAGATGCTCAATTAAGAGAATTGACACGAGTACTAGCCGATATTGGTAAGATTCTTCGTCCGAATAGTCAAATCATCTTAATGTTCTTTTGTGTTCCTAAGAAATGTTGAAAGAATCATACAAACTATTGATAGAGTATCTCAAGAATCAAAAATTGCAATGCGAAGAAAATCATATAAGTGGGAATGTGAACCAAATTTCTGTATGACATACTTCTTTATTTGTAACGTATTTCATTTGCTTAATGTTATATTTTACAGTGATCAATATCGTTGTTATGATGTTTTTGATATTTTATTATTACAATTCAGAACTTGTTCCGTGAAACTTCTATAACATGAAAATTAAATCCGGGTCATTGGGAGGTGAACATTCGATAACGAACTTTGTGGTATGCACCGCCCTAATTTAATACCTCTTTTTTCAGTATATGACGATATAAATTTTTAATTTAGATTAGTAGACATGAAGGGCCTATTTTTTAGGAAATGCCAAGTTTCGACCAAGAACTTTTCCTGCAACCGCGATATTTCCTCTAAAACCCAACACAACAATTCTTAGCGGGTTCTCAATAGCGCAATCCCCAGTTATTTAGTTACACCAGCCCAATTTCAATTTTCAATTTATTTATTTTTTTTCTGCCACATTTACTTCAAAACTGTGCAGGAAACCGAGCTTAATGAAAATTATAGCAAACATCGTTGTAATCTAAGCACCTTATGTGCGTATATGTTCAATACAGACCAATCTCTAGTGACTGTTTTAGGGTAGCAGTTAAATGTGATACTTTCGAGGTAGAGCTGTTTAAAATGTATATACCGACGATTAAAAGCTTTGAACCGCGTTATTTACTTAACCTCAGCTTTCTATTGAAGATCAATAACCATTTGGTACTTGGAGACTTCAATTCACATGATGAATATTGGCATTCCGCCGTAGGTAATGAATTGAGGGGAACAAGTACTGGCTGGGAGAATTGATAGCTTCACATTTTGCACGATGAATGAGGATGTCCCAACAAAATAAGGGACGAGTGTCACAGTTTGTCAGACATAACAAAATGCACTCAGAATAGAAAATGAACCAGTATGTTACCAAATGTAGGAAATGAGCGGGATGAGCTCCGTCGATCTAACCCAGCAGATCCCAGGCCAGGGAACTCACGCAGATTAGTCGCAGATCATAAGCGGAATGCATGTTTCGAGCATCTGAAGAGTTGTAACATTTGAACCGATGTGAGTAAACTGTGAGCAACATTTAAGTCGCTCCTTCAAACCCTGGTAGGAAGGATGATAGAACCTCAGTCACTTTCAATGACAAAACAGATCCGATGATTACTTAACCGAGCATCCCCAGAGCTACAGTGCGAAGCGAAGAGTACTACGTCGTATAAGATGTCTTCCCATCGAGGAAACACCACCACAGTTTGCCATGGGTGATTTTGAATATGTCATCCGTATCGCTAAGCGTTGGGCCCTGGCGGAATATCCATGGTTATGCTAAACATCTGGACGAGCCCGGAGTTCAGCACCTAACCAAAGTCCTCAAATTGTCGATAGCCATTAACATAGTTACCGAAGCCTGGACAATGGGCAGGGTGATCCCGCTACTGAAGCCAGCAAAAGTTAATCATACAGGTCGACTTCACTTTTGTCCCCAGTAGCGAAGACTATTGGGACATTACTCCTCCCCAGCATTAGGAAAAACTATCCAGTTGCGAATCATCAACAAGGGAGTCGTTGAGGACATATGCGTATGATTAAAAGCCTATCTCGCCGATTTACCAGCCTTCTTCCAAGCGAAGATAATGAAAATATCCGCCACGAAATCTTCGGCCACATTGTTCACAACATGGTCTGCGGAGATTAGAATGCTATTGCATGTGCAGATCCAGGGGCATACAATTTCGACCACCAACTACCCCAAAATTCTTGGGGTCTTGGGGCGTAGATAAGGAAACCTTCTTGACATCTTACAAAGCGATAGATCAGTCTGTGACTAAGCTCTGTGACTAAGCTCTGTATGTACGCCGCCCTTATGTCCTCATGGCAGCAGTGGAACATATTCATGAGCAGACGAACATCCTTCCCTTAAGTCAGCGTACATCATACTGCTACGGACAATCATCCTAACCATCATATGGTGGATAAAACTTCGCCAGGCGTGTCAGAAAGGATCTGCATGATCTAGAGGATGAGGTCCAACGATATAATATGGAGCATCCAGATCAAGTTGCTTATCGAGTAGGTCTAAATAGCGTTCATAGTGTTGCCGCTGCGCTGAAGAAATACCGAGTGAATGCCGTCCTCGGAGCTCACCCAGCAGCTGAAAAACGTCAGTTGCCCAGACTAACCTGAATAGTTTTGGTCTTATTACGTTCAGATTGGTGTAGTCAATTCGTATTGGGCACGGATTGATGACCACGTGCAGAATATCTGTCCAGAATGTTGTACAGGCCCTCACACCATATTGCAGTTAATTAATTGCCAACTTACACAACACAACTTACTCTAGAAGATAACAGCATTTCTGAAATTGGGATGGGTAAAGGCATTACTATTGAGCAGCAGTTGCGAATTTTTGCTTAGGCCCGGGATTTAGCTCCGCATAATGTTAAAGTTCAGTGGTAGTTGTGTAGGGTATGGTTTTATTTCAAATTTGTTTGTCGATGTTCTGTATAACCATATTTGAAAATTGTAACACAACGATCTTGATCACTCCTGTAGTGCTTTCCAAAATTTTCTCTCCCTTTCCTATAATCCCAACTATCATTTCATTTCCCTATTTTACACATATTTATGTTTGCATTCTGTTTATCATTTCATTTGTTTTTCTATTTGTTTCGTATCTTCTAGAATCACGTTCCATTTTCAGATGGACCCGGGAACGGTTAAGCGAATATCAACCATTTAATCCTGACAATCCAGATCAGTCATTAAATAAAAAACCACAAACCAAATCACCATATCATGCCGATGGTGGTCTAGTCATGAGAGCTTTACATTTCCTAGATACAAAAGTGTTCACCAATAGTCCAGTGTCTGTGTCACAACAACAACAACCACAACATCAAACCTCACCTCCACCATCATCATCTACACAAAATGTCATGGATGTTCCTGAAACTACATTAACGGAAGGTTTTGAAAATAGTGAAGACATCGTCCAGTCTGTCGCCAACAACAAAGAAAGGCAGGCCTTGAAACAGTGACTACTGCCACAAAATGTTATTTTAGAAAATTCAATGGCTAAACTTAAATATGATATAGAATTAGCTAACAGTGAATTGGGATCAGAATGAACCAACAATTGTTATATTTTAATCTGCCTATTTTTGTACTTTTGACTATTGTAATTTATATATTTTTTCAATTACGTTTCATTCTGATTTCGATTTTCTCTTTACCACAACAACACCAATAATACTTTACAATTGTGTTAAAGTTTTTTCAGAATTTTTTTTCAATAGCCGTTCATATATTTATTAAATTGTGCAAACACAACCACCTTGCATTTACATTTCTTCCTTCCACAAAATTGCCACCTGTCGTCTATATCCAACTTTGTAGAATAGTGTTTTTTGTTGTTAATTAATTTTTAAAAACCAAAAAATATTTATACTGAAAATACAGTTATCAATGGTTGCATATAGAAAAATAACTCTTTGTTTTACTTCTTGATTGTTTTCTCTGTATATATTTTTAGCTCCGGCAAAATCGGCAACACTTCTCAAAATGAATACATCGTCTGGGCAACAAATACAGTCTCAAATACCAACATCGAAAAAGGAAGAAAATGCCTCAACACAGACATCCAATAGTACAACAATAACCCCTCCTCCACCACCACTATCCCCACCTGATAAATCCACAAAAGCTGAAGCTCCAGTCAAAGCGGCGTAATTTTAAGTGTTTTTTCATTGAGAAGTTTTGGTATTCGAAGTTACAACTTTTTGTATTATAAACATTTATGTTGTTCTCACAGACAATAAAGGATATTATTACACAAGGATATATTGGAATTATATTGAATTAACAAATAAAACGTCGTTAAGTTCGACCAGCCCGAGCTGAACATTTAAAATACCAGTAATCGTTCGGTACCTAAAATACCGAACAATGGGGTGCTGATCGATTGTTTGACTTTAAAGGCGTGGATATTTTAAAAATTAATTTTTCACCTCCTAAGGGTGGATTTTTTAAAACTTATTTTTTACCTCCTTGGTGGCGTAGGGGATGCTAGGAGATTTTAATGCAAAAATCGAAAGGGAAAATATCTTTGGCCCCACCGACGGAAAATTCAATGAAAAAACATCCGACAACGGCATGAGATTGACTTCGCAGCAGCAAAACAAACATAGTAGTTAGCAGCACCAGATTCAAGCATCTCGATATACACAAGGCCACCTGAATTTCTCCTGATCAAGCAACGAGAAATCAAATTGATCATTTTGTTAAAGACGGAAGGCATTCATCCAGTGTATTAGAGGTTCGATCGATCCGAGGAGTGAATATCGATTCGGACCACTACCTTGTAGCAGCCAATGTATCGCACTCGGTGCGATCTAACAGAACACGGAAACCCGACGTCGAAGAGCTGCAAACACAACAGGTAACCGAGGCCTACTCTGCTCAACTTACCCACTTGCTTGACGAAAGCACTCCTTGTCCCGATAATAGTATAGAAGCACAATGGCAAAGAATTGCCCACTTCCTACAAACTGCAGCAAATGCAACACTTGGGTACCAAAAACCACCACCAAGAAACCCATGGTACGATCAGGAGTGTCGTAATGCTACTGATGTGAAAAATGCAGCGTATAGGGAAACCCTGCAAACAGTAGCAAGACGTTATGTGATGGGGAATTATCGGAAGCAAATCGAGATACACAGGAGTCAGAATGAAGTCCGGAAATTTTACCAACGAGTAAAACACCAAACCGAAAGTTTTGGTGCGGGTACATCCTACTGTAGAGATGAAGAAGGAAACTTGGTGACAGATACAGCGTGCTGAGGATCTGGAAGGAGTATTTTGAAAAGCTTCTGGTATCATATTGTGGAGGTGAAGAAGATACTCCAGAACAAATAAGAGATGATGGTATAGAGTGTATACCACCTAGCCAAGATGAGGTCATAAAAGCAATTAATCGGCTCAAGAACAATAAAGCAGCAGGAGCCGACGGGTTACCAGCCGAACTATTCAAGACTAAATCCTGAAAAAACACATCGACACACACCACCTATTCGTCGACTATAAAGCCGCATTCGACAGCCCTATCCGTTCAGAGGTGTTTAAAGTCATGTCTACGTTCGGCATTACTGCAAAATAAATACGGCTATGCAGGATAACTTTAAGTGGCACAAGATCAACAATTAAAGTCTATGGGCCGATCTGCGTCGACGGTGAATATCGGCGTCGAATGAACCACGAGCTTTATAATTCGCGAGACCGACGCGCTTGGAATTCTTTTTTATGCTCGGCTTATGGAACAACCATTCTGTAACAAGCCAGCTGAGTATTCTTCATCTCCTAATCGTGGATTTTTAAAACTTAATTCTTCACCTCCTAAGCTAGAATTTTTTAAAAAAATTATGGCTTCTATGTTGTTATCTGGAGCTATTGATTGTCGCTTGAATAATCGGTTCGGTACAACAGCTCCCACTGAATTCGCTGTGGTTGGCTTCGAAGGTTCGAAGACTTGCTCCAACTTTCGTTTTCATGTTGAGAACCTTTTCACTATCCATCTTAGCCGCTACCGATTCATAGGGACAAACGTTCGAACCGTTTGCAGCAGCGACTTGATGTTCCTCTATCGACCTCATTCTCTTCATGTCAAGGGCCTTGAGTCCGTTGAAACAGCTGCTACTGAATTCGCTGTTGCTATTTGCTCATCTGGGACTATTGGTTGAGTTGTCCCTTCAATAAGTTTCCGAGAACTTGGTCCGATTTTCGTTTTCACGTTGACAACCTTCTTAGCCTCTACCGATGCAAACGATACAGAACCTTTGCTCTTGTACGGCGGGTACCCAATTCCCTATTTGGAGGTTAATACAAAATGCATTCTGGTGAATCCATCACTTTTGGTTCCGGAGTTGGCCGCGTGTATTTGGAACCCTGTCGCTGTTGACTAATTTGCCCTCCTTGGTTACTTGCCCCAGACTTCTGTTGAGTGTTTGAGTCTTATGTCAGCTTGAATGAGGCAAAAGTTGCCGTATATTTTAGAAACTACTGCCGCTGCAGGCAGTTTTCAGCAAACTTATAATCCATTTCCACTTATTTTTCATAAAAAAGAAACTAACCCAAATGGCTTTTTCGTTCTTGTCATCATGTCAGTACATTTTTTAGAATTTTTGTTGAAGGGTGAATTTTTTGAGGCAACTTCAGACGACCTATAGGAGGGGATTTAAAATATATTTTTTTGGAACCAAATTTTTTACAAAAGTCAAAAACTATTTTATTTATAAAAATTGTATTAAAATATCTATGAAATGCACTTCAGACGACCTATATGAGGGGATTTAAAATATATTTTTCTGGAACCAAATTTTTTACAAAAGTCAAAAACTATTTTATTTATAAAAATTGTATTAAAATATCTATGAAATGCACATCTAATGATACAATTTTCAATGGGTTATATATACTAGGTGTTATGTGCATGACGACGACGAGTTCTTAGAACTAAAACTTAACAAAATCAATTTGAAAAGAGGAAGAGGAAAATAACTAAAAAAATAATAATAAAATACTTATACTACAATTGTGGTTTTAATGGAGAAAGAAAAAATAACTTTTAAATACAATATACATATTAAGAATGACTGTGATTGAGTTTGTGAAGATGATAGTTAGCTGATGATGATTGAACTTAAACTTCCTGATAGTTAACAAAACACTGCAGACTTCTAATTTCCATTGGGTCATCGAACAGATCCCGCAAATAGTCTCCAAAAACTGAGACAATTTTGTAGAGACTACGTCTAACGGAATTTTTCAAGGTGATTAGATTACGATCCAATTTTTTGCCATTTAAATTGACATTATTTAATTTATCCAATTCACCTTTCAGTTTTAAGAGGGTACGTATAATTTGTGGTAGGGCAACTTGAACAACACCATATTTATCTTCAACCAAAGACTCGGCACAAATTCCGGCTAAGCCTTGTGTCAACCAAACAATAATTTGTGAATTGGATAGGAGGAAAGCTGTGCGAGCTCCATCGGGTTCTCCAAACATATAAAATACTCCGGGGATTGTGTGGAAGGCTGTATTGAGGGCTTGTTCAATTTGTTTGGAAATGTGTTCAAATTGTTCATTGATACGCTGAACAGCAGTCGGGGTGCTAGATGATTTGGCACCACCTGCGGTTGTTGAGGATGAACCAATATTTGTCGTTGGTGGTTCAGAGACCATTCTGCGAATGCCATAGGTTTCATTGTATTGACGCAGGAGAATCTTCTCTGCCGCCTCTGTGGCTGTTGGTTTATCAGTTTGACAGAATAGCGGTGCGGATTTCATTGTTGAAATATTCTTAACCGATGTTGTGAGATCCTCAATAAATGCATTGATTATCGCCAGACATTGTGAAGACAATTGATTCCAATTATAAGGGTGACCACCTGCAAAGAATGGGAGAGAAGAATAATTGTTAGCTTGAACGTGTATATGAAGAAAATTAAGTAACCCGAGTTCAGGAGCGATGATCCGAATGCGCGTTATTTTTCTATTTTTTTGGTATTACGGATTCTGTGAAGATATATTTTTCAATGTAGCATTCAATACTGAAAATGAGAAATTGTGCGGATTCCAAGTCCATCCTTGTGCAAGTGGACAGCATAACTACGTCTGTAAACCGGTTAAAAAGTAGGACTTGGAAATGAGTTGCGGATAGGTTTGGCATTCTCTTCATACTTTAAATATCAAAGGAATATTTTCTGCCTTCGAATTACTTCTATTTTTGGGGTATTTCAGTCATTCAAAATAAATCCTAAACACGGGCCTATTTTCACCCTTTTTGTGCGGATTATTCCTACCCGAAGTAAGTCTTGCTAAAACCTCTATGTAGATTGGTATTCCAAAATTATATCTAAAGAATGGTTATGCTGAAAACTTACCCGGTATCGATAGAGCGTAGATCTCCTTACGCCTATTCGCCGCTGAGGTTCCGGTCATATTGAAAAGATCCAATGCGGCTAAAGTTTGTACAATTGGCACCTGGGTCATTGTTAAAGCCTCAACGAGGGTGACTTCTTTTTGACCCTCTGTCACAACGGGATTTTTCTCGATAACAAATTGCATTTCTTCGGCTAATAGAATTGAAAAGAACTTCTGCATTAAATTCATGTTACTTAAAATTTGTGATTGTAAAATCCACGAATAGAATAATATCCGCAAATTTGTTAGCACCGAAAAGAACGACGATAGACTTGTATCAACTTCCAAATCAAAGAATCGCGCAAAACGAGCATTGATTATGTCGCCGAATATCCAAAATGCAAAAGCATAAAACATTGAGGGTACAAATGATTTCATCAGCGATTTGTACAGGGTGGAGTAGAGGAGAGATCGCAGTTTGACAAGTTTCTTTTCTTGTATTATGGGATATTCCACCTCGGGTTCATGGCGTAAATTCTCCTTAAAGAAATAATAACAGCCAGCTGAGATGCCAGAACCGACGAGGAAGAGATAATAGGAATTAATGCAATCCATGCCATAACACTGGTACACCAAGGATCTGAAAATAACGAAACAATATTAGAATTTCTTAAGGGGTGCTATGTCATCAGCATTTACGTACCTATAATCCACATGTAAGTAGCGTGCATAGAGCCATGCAGTTAGGAAACCCACCGCAATGTGTATCATTAAAAAGAGACTCTTACGCACCACAGTCCCCAGTATCCACTTGAAGCGTGTTCCATAATATTGTTTAACAGCCAGATGGGATTTACCCAACAATATGCCATATATGATAACAGCCGATATTAGTGGCATAATTGATAGCCATGTGTAAAAGGAAAACATTAAACTAAATGTCTCAGTAATCCAATTCAACAGATGGAATATATGGAAGTTAACAAACAGCAAGAAAACGGTGAGCAGGAAAAACTGCATCATAATGCTAAGGGCAACTGCCGTAAGGCAACGATACAGGCAAAGCTTTTTGCATTCCAACACAGTGGCGGCAGACATGTTCGATCACTCGAGGAATCTTGGAATCCAGCACCACTACACTTAACACAAAATATTGGCAATCAACAACAACTGAACGCGGAACCGGCTTTTATTTTGTTGCTTTTGAGGTTAAGTTCATAAGAAACAATTTTAATACACAATTTATCTTTGTAATAATTAAGTTATTGTCTCCTGAAGACTCCAGGCGGGAAAATGTATACAATTTTCTTTGTTTAATTTAATTTCTATGTCGATTTTTGTGCAAAAAGACTTCGCTTTGCGCCGTTTCTGTTTAAAATCTGCAAAACAATGATGCCAATTCCACACTATGCCATGGCATCGTTGCTCAGCTGTTCAACAGTGCTGCCATCTTCGTGTGCCTAATAGCTATACGAGAGCTGAGAACTATGAAATTCATTTAAAACAAATCTAAACATGTCCATGATAGAAAAACCCGCGTTCCGTTAAGAAAGTAAATGAAAATATATTTTTTTAGTGAAAAAAGTGTTTCGTGTGTGCTATTTGTGAATAATTATGTGACGATATTGTCCAGACATGATGCGGGTCATGAAGGATATGACATTTCTATATAAATTGGTGTTTTGGCCTTTTCTTTTAGCATGTATTGGCCTGCACAAAGAATCTATGGACTCTTTGCTGCAAATTATTGTGAAATGGGGAATCCAGCGATTGGACCTGAAACTCTATGGCAATTTCAGCGTATGAGTAATATGTGCTGTAAATTGTGGAAAATAGATACATTAATGACAAAATATTGTGAAAAATATAGGTAAGTCAAATTTGCCACAAGTTTTAACCCTGGTGCTGAATAGCTTAAGTGCAGCCAAATACCCGCTTGCGGATCGAAAGTATTTTTATACCTTCAGCCTTATGGCTAATAAGGACCCCATTTTTTTCCACCAAATTATTTTCTTTCACTAGCAAAGTGCCCGCTACTTCGTATGCGAAAAGGGAATACAAAAACATATTTCATATGGAAATCGTGAATACTGTATAATTTGTTGTACTATAGTTCCGAATTCCACCTCTATTTCTACATCTAATATCATGTTTATTACCATTTAGTACTCTTCACATACATAAGCACTATTTTCCGAAATCCATTTTTTTTATTTTATTACACAGATTAAAACCAAAAAAAAAAATACATATGGGAGCTATATCTAAATCTGAACCGATTTCCACGAAACTTGACACACATCATTTAGAACAAAAAATTAAGTTTTCGGTCCACTTCATGCCAAAATGGTTATCTGATCATCACCGAAAATTAAAGGCATTGTCCATGACCATAACTGGAACCTCATACAAAATTTCAAAGCGATCAAGGCTATATTTCCGCCATCTAATGGGTTACTGAATAATATCTGAATACGTAAAGCACCTGCAAATTTTTGAGTGTAACTCCCATATTCGAACAGATACATCACTATATTTGGTATCTATTTAAAGGTCAACCACCCTTGGATGTACTATCAACTTTGGGGTCTATATCCTTCAGGAGTAAATATATAAAAAAAGGCCTTAAAATGCTTTTTTAGGCGATAGAAACCTATAAAGGCCTTAAAATGCCTTTTTTAGACCACAGAAAATTAAAATGCGTTTTTAGGCGTTAGAAGCTTTTAAAGGCCTCACAATGCCTTTTTAGACCACCGAAAATTAAAACGCCTTTTTTAGGCGAATGAAGCCTTTAAAGGCCTTAAAATGCCTTTCTATACCACAGAAAATTAAAATGCGTTTTTTAGGCGTTAGAAGCTTTTAAAGGCCTTAAAATGCCTTTTTAGATCACAGAAAATTAAAAGGCGTTTTTTTGGCGTTAGAAGCGTTTAAAGGCCTTAAAATGCTTTTTTAGACCACAGAAAATTAAAATGCGTTTTCTAGGCGTTAGAAGCGTTTAAAGGCCTTAAAATGCCTTTTTAGAACACAGAAAATTAAAATGCGTTTTCTAGGCGTTAGAAGCGTTTAAAGGCTTTAAAATGCCTTTTTAGATCACAAAAAATTAAAATGCGTTTTCTAGGCGTTAGAAGCGTTTAAAGGCCTTAAAATGCCTTTTTAGACGACAGAAAATTAAAATGCGTTTTCTAGGCGTTAGAAGCGTTAAAATGCCTTTTTAGACCACAGAAAATTAAAATGCGTTTTCTAGGCGTTAGAAGCGTTTAAATGCCTTAAAATGCCTTTTTAGACCACAGAAAATTAAAATGCGTTTTCTAGGCGTTAGAAGCGTTTAAATGCCTTAAAATTAAAATGCGTTTAAAGGCCTTAAAATGCCTTTTTAGACCACAGAAAATTAAAATGCGTTTTCTAGGCGTTAGAAGCGTTTAAATGCCTTAAAATGCCTTTTTACACCACAGAAAATTAAAATGCGTTTTCTAGGCGTTAGAAGCGTTTAAAGGCCTTAAAATGCCTTTTTACACCACAGAAAATTAAAATGCGTTTTCTAGGCGTTAGAAGCGTTTAAAGGCCTTAAAATGCCTTTTTAACCACAGAAAATTAAAATGCGTTTTCTAGGCGTTAGAAGCGTTTAAAGGCCTTAAAATGCCTTTTTAGACCACAGAAAATTAAAATGCGTTTTCTAGGCGTTAGAAGCGTTTAAAGGCCTTAAAATGCCTTTTTAAACCACAGAAAATTAAAATGCGTTTTCTAGGCGTTAGAAGCGTTTAAAGGCTTTAAAATGCCTTTTTAGACCACAGAAAATTAAAATGCGTTTTCTAGGCGTTAAAGCGTTTAAAGGCCTTAAAATGCCTTTTTAGACCACAGAAAATTAAAATGCGTTTTCTAGGCGTTAGAAGCGTTTAAAGGCCTTAAAATGCCTTTTTAGACCACAGAAAATTAAAATGCGTTTTCTAGGCGTTAGAAGCGTTTAAAGGCCTTAAAATGCCTTTCTACACCACAGAAAATTAAAATGCGTTTTCTAGGCGTTAGAAGCGTTTAAAGGCCTTACAATGCCTTTTTAACCACAGAAAATTAAAATGCGTTTTCTAGGCGTTAGAAGCGTTTAAAGGCCTCAGAATGCCTTTTTAGACCACAGAAAATTAAAATGCGTTTTCTAGGCGTTAGAAGCGTTTAAAGGCCTTAAAATGCCTTTTTAGACCACAGAAAATTAAAATGCGTTTTCTAGGCGTTAGAAGCGTTTAAAGGCCTTAAAACGTCTTTTTAGACCACAGAAAATTAAAATGCGTTTTTAGGCGTTAGAAGCGTTTAAGGCCTTAAAATGCCTTTTTAGACCACAGAAAATTAAAATGCGTTTTCTAGGCGTTAGAAGCGTTTAAAGGCCTTAAAACGTCTTTTTAGACCACAGAAAATTAAAATGTGTTTTTTAGGCGTTAGAAGCGTTTAAAGGCCTTAAAATGCCTTTTTAGACCACAGAAAATTAAAATGCGTTTTCTAGGCGTTAGAAGCGTTTAAAGGCCTTAAAATGCCTTTTTAGACGACAGAAAATTAAAATGCGTTTTCTAGGCGTTAGAAGCGTTTAAAGGCCTTAAAACGTCTTTTTAATGCCTTTTTAGACCACAGAAAATTAAAATGCGTTTTCTAGGCGTTAGAAGCGTTTAAAGGCCTTAAAATGCCTTTTTAGACCACAGAAAATTAAAATGCGTTTTCTAGGCGTTAGAAGCGTTTAAAGGCCTTAAAATGCCTTTTTAGACCACAGAAAATTAAAATGCGTTTTCTAGGCGTTAGAAGCGTTTAAAGGCCTTAAAATGCCTTTTTAGACCACAGAAAATTAAAATGCGTTTTCTAGGCGTTAGAAGCGTTTAAAGGCCTTAAAATGCCTTTTTAGACCACAGAAAATTAAAATGCGTTTTCTAGGCGTTAGAAGCGTTTAAAGGCCTTAAAATGCCTTTTTAGACCACAGAAAATTAAAATGCGTTTTCTAGGCGTTAGAAGCGTTTAAAGGCCTTAAAATGCCTTTTTAGACCACAGAAAATTAAAATGCGTTTTCTAGGCGTTAGAAGCGTTTAAAGGCCTTAAAATGCCTTTTTAGACCACAGAAAATTAAAATGCGTTTTCTAGGCGTTAGAAGCGTTTAAAGGCCTTAAAATGCCTTTTTAGACCACAGAAAATTAAAATGCGTTTTCTAGGCGTTAGAAGCGTTTAAAGGCCTTAAAATGCCTTTTTAGACCACAGAAAATTAAAATGCGTTTTCTAGGCGTTAGAAGCGTTTAAAGGCCTTAAAATGCCTTTTTAGACCACAGAAAATTAAAATGCGTTTTCTAGGCGTTAGAAGCGTTTAAAGGCCTTAAAATGCCTTTTTAGACCACAGAAAATTAAAATGCGTTTTCTAGGCGTTAGAAGCGTTTAAAGGCCTTAAAATGCCTTTTTAGACCACAGAAAATTAAAATGCGTTTTCTAGGCGTTAGAAGCGTTTAAAGGCCTTAAAATGCCTTTTTAGACCACAGAAAATTAAAATGCGTTTTCTAGGCGTTAGAAGCGTTTAAAGGCCTTAAAATGCCTTTTTAGACCACAGAAAATTAAAATGCGTTTTCTAGGCGTTAGAAGCGTTTAAAGGCCTTAAAATGCCTTTTTAGACCACAGAAAATTAAAATGCGTTTTCTAGGCGTTAGAAGCGTTTAAAGGCCTTAAAATGCCTTTTTAGACCACAGAAAATTAAAATGCGTTTTCTAGGCGTTAGAAGCGTTTAAAGGCCTTAAAATGCCTTTTTAGACCACAGAAAATTAAAATGCGTTTTCTAGGCGTTAGAAGCGTTTAAAGGCCTTAAAATGCCTTTTTAGACCACAGAAAATTAAAATGCGTTTTCTAGGCGTTAGAAGCGTTTAAAGGCCTTAAAATGCCTTTTTAGACCACAGAAAATTAAAATGCGTTTTCTAGGCGTTAGAAGCGTTTAAAGGCCTTAAAATGCCTTTTTAGACCACAGAAAATTAAAATGCGTTTTCTAGGCGTTAGAAGCGTTTAAAGGCCTTAAAATGCCTTTTTAGACCACAGAAAATTAAAATGCGTTTTCTAGGCGTTAGAAGCGTTTAAAGGCCTTAAAATGCCTT